AAAAAATATACCGATATCTTCCAACAACAAACAGTAAGCTGTGGCTTTGGTCAGGAGCGGCACAGTTTCAAAACAATACGATATTTATAATCGAATTATGTAAGCCTGAAACAAGATTACATTTTAAAAATTAAATTTTTACCAAAATTTTTTTTTTACCTCCTTCACGGTCAAATCCGTTAGCCACAACAAGATTGTCTGAGTTTGAGGTGGAATCAACACCACCGCGGTTCTCAAACCTTGAGCAACCCGTGTCTCCAACTCTACGAAATTCAACGATTAAACTGCGACCCTCGTAGCTCCACGTAAAGTAATGTTCTATTACCTCCACCTTGACGAATTTACGTCCCCGTCTTGGGACTGCCCTTGACAAACTCACGATCTCCACTTTATGATCACCGTAGCTTGTCCAGGACCTAACACCTTCAAAATCTCCTACGAAACACACATTTTCCTCCTCCACCAAACTCTCCTGCACAAACCAAAAATCTCACTGTTGTACAAAATAAAAATTAAAACAACAACAATCTTGTACAATATCAAAGGTCTCTGTTGTACAATATCAAAGGTCTCTGTTGTACAATATCAAAGGTCTCTGTTGTACAATATCAAAGGTCTCTGTTGTACAATATCAAAGGTCTCTGTTGTACAATATCAAAGGTCTCTGTTGTACAATATCAAAGGTCTCTGTTGTACAATATCAAAGGTCTCTGTTGTACAATATCAAAGGTCTCTGTTGTACAATATCAAAGGTCTCTGTTGTACAATATCAAAGGTCTCTGTTGTACAATATCAAAGGTCTCTGTTGTACAATATCAAAGGTCTCTGTTGTACAATATCACAACTTTGATATTGCATATTATCAAAATCTGCAGTTTGTACAGTATCAAAAGCATCATCTTGTATGCCATTAGAAATCAAATCTTGTACAAAATCACAAATTACATTCACAAAATCTACAAGTTGGGCTCCATCACATGCATCCTCTTGAACGTCATCCAAATTTTGTCTTTTACATAATAAAAACGTACATGTTGTACATTTACAAACTCTTTATCCCGTGCTTCCACTCTGTGTTTTATTATGGCTAGCCCATCCATAGATTCTAACAAAAACTCATTGCCCCTACCCTCAGTTATGATAGCTTGAAATCGCTCGGGAAAGCTTATCTCCATCACAAAGTCGGTAATATCTCTCAGTTAACTCATTTTCATACGCTAAAAGACGGATTTTACTCCCTTCAACTGCAACTAATGGCCTCCCAATTTCCTTAACCCATTTTCCCAGTTTCTACTTTATCAACTTCTGAGAGTTTTTCCCGAGTGATTTTCTTAACCATCCCATCTGAACTGACTCTTTTTAGTTTCAAATTATGTCATGTAATAACTATCTTCTCTTTCGGGACAGTTGGCAGTTAATGCTAACTATCGCGTCTATTCTAGTTCTAGGCCATTCTTTCCCATCATACTCCTTATTGTCACTGTCATAATATTCTTGAAAGATAATTTTTCTGCCTCTATTTCTGCATCTACTTCTGCCTCTCTCATCACTGCTTCTATCATTCTTTTAAATGCCATTCTCTCATTTGATTCTCTATCTTCTTTCTCTTTATTAACGTGTGCTAATCTATCTTCTTTCTCTTTATTAACGTGTGCTAATCTATCTTCTTTCTCTTTATTAACGTGTGCTAATCTATCTTCTTTCTCTTTATTAACGTGTGCTAATCTATCTTCTTTCTCTTTATTAACGTGTGCTAATCTATCTTCTTTCTCTTTATTAACGTGTGCTAATCTATCTTCTTTCTCTTTATTAACGTGTGCTAATCTATCTTCTTTCTCTTTATTAACGTGTGCTAATCTATCTTCTTTCTCTTTATTAACGTGTGCTAATCTATCTTCTTTCTCTTTATTAACGTGTGCTAATCTATCTTCTTTCTCTTTATTAACGTGTGCTAATCTATCTTCTTTCTCTTTATTAACGTGTGCTAATCTATCTTCTTTCTCTTTATTAACGTGTGCTAATCTATCTTCTTTCTCTTTATTAACGTGTGCTAATCTATCTTCTTTCTCTTTATTAACGTGTGCTAATCTATCTTCTTTCTCTTTATTAACGTGTGCTAATCTATCTTCTTTCTCTTTATTAACGTGTGCTAATCTATCTTCTTTCTCTTTATTAACGTGTGCTAATCTATCTTCTTTCTCTTTATTAACGTGTGCTAATCTATCTTCTTTCTCTTTATTAACGTGTGCTAATCTATCTTCTTTCTCTTTATTAACGTGTGCTAATCTATCTTCTTTCTCTTTATTAACGTGTGCTAATCTATCTTCTTTCTCTTTATTAACGTGTGCTAATCTATCTTCTTTCTCTTTATTAACGTGTGCTAATCTATCTTCTTTCTCTTTATTAACGTGTGCTAATCTATCTTCTTTCTCTTTATTAACGTGTGCTAATCTATCTTCTTTCTCTTTATTAACGTGTGCTAATCTATCTTCTTTCTCTTTATTAACGTGTGCCAATTATCTTCTTTCTCTTTATTAGCGTGTGCCAATTATATTCTTTCTCTTTATTAGCGTGTGCCAATTATCTTCTTTCTCTTTATTAGCGTGTGCCAATTATCTTCTTTCTCTTTATTAGCGTGTGCCAATTATCTTCTTTCTCTTTATTAGCGTGTGCCAATTATCTTCTTTCTCTTTATTAGCGTGTGCCAATTATCTTCTTTCTCTTTATTTGCGTGTGCCAATTATCTTCTTTCTCTTTATTATCTTGTATTGTCCATTGGTTTGTATGTAGATTTTGTATTGTTGCGTTTTGTATTTCGATGTATAAAAGTTTAAACTGCCATATATGGTTGACATACCACGCTTAAGTTAAGTCATCTATGATATGAGTATAACAGCGTTGTTGTCTTGATGGTACAACCATTGATGTTTAGTCGGATCGTCCCAAACATAACACTACCATTACCACTAATGTAAGCCTCATCTAACTAAAGCTCTCCATTACCACGATCATTTGAATACTAATTTGCTGCAGGCTAGAACTTAAGAGACGATGTTGTGGTAACCAGTGTACTACAAGCATAAAGCGCTCTTGCTTTGGTAATATGGTTCATAGACACGCTAAGAGACGATGCTGTGGTAACTAGTGTATTACAAACATAAAGCGCTGTTGCTTTGGTAATATGGTACATAGACACGCTCAGAGATGATGTTGTGTGTTAAATTTGCCACTGTGAAAACTCTTATAATTTAAAGCATAAAAAGGAATTGTTGTGACATCTCAAAATGAATAATTATTTGTCCTAATTTTCTTTTTATTGATTTCTTTTATTGTAGAGAAATGTATACGAGACACTGCCCAAACATAACTTGTTCATTATTAATCTAATTTATTTGTAAATTTAGAAATGTTCTCAACACAGACATTTTGTCTGCTACGTTTTTTACAATCTTCCTGTAGAATTTTGGTCACATAAATATCTGTTGTATATGTATTTAACGTATGTATTTTAACAAAATCGGAAATATCTGGATGTGTAAAGTGTTCATTCAGACAAACAAAAGTGTAAATTACTGCAGGTGTAAAGTGTTCATCCAGAAAAACAAAGGTATAAATAACTGCAGGTGTAAAATTTTCATTCAGAAAAACAAAAGTGTAAATTAATGCAGGTGTAAAGTGTTCATTCAGACAAAAAAATTGTAAATAACTGTAGTTGTAAAATGTTCATTCACACACAAACAAACATGTAAATAACTGCAGGTGTAAAGTGTTCATTCAGGCAAAAAAATTGTAAATAACTGTAGTTGTAAAATGTTCATTCACACACAAACAAACATGTAAATAACTGCAGGTGTAAAGTGTTCATTCAGGCAAAAAAAATTGTAAATAACTGTAGTTGTAAAATGTTCAATCACACACATACAAACATGTAAATAACTGCAGGTGTAAAGTGTTCTTTCAGACAAACAAAAATGTTTATAAATTGCTGCAGGTGTAAAGTGTTCATTCAGACAGACAAACAAACAATATAAGAAGCCAAGCTACACATATTGACAAACAGTTCATATTTATTGATTCTCCTCATAGATTTAACACTTTTCAATACCCACGATTTTGGTGATCATTTGAAGAAGTTAAAACTCAATATATCAGATATAATGGTATTTTTGTAAAATTTTTCAATGTTTCAGATATAATGGCAGTTTTGGTGGAATGTTTCAATGTATCAGATATTAGGGCAGTTTTTGTAAAATATTTTCAGTATATTTTATATAGTTGCAGTTTTTGTGAAACATTTCAATGTGTCAGATTTATATTTAAAGGCAGTAGTTGTTTGAGTTTTTAAAGATGCTTGGTCATTGTCCAAAATAAGGACCCACATATTTGCCTATGGGCCTTTTGGACTCAGCAATTGTCACAGACATGCCTAGATTAACCACTCTAGGGGGAGGGGGGCCCTTTTGGACTCAGCAATTGTTACAGACATGCCTAGTTTAACCACTCTAGGGGGAGGGGGGCCCTTTTGGACTCAGCAATTGTTACAGACATGCCTAGTTTAACCACTCTAGGGGGAGGGGGGCCCTTTTGGACTCAGCAATTGTAACAGACATGCCTAGTTTAACCACCCTAGGGGAGGGGGGCCCCTTT